GGGAGGGCAGTGGGGTCTGGTGGGTTAGAGCAGAGGGGTGAGGGGGAGGGCTGGGAGCCAGGACTCTGGGTTCTATCCCCAGCTCTGGGAGGGCAGTGGGGTCTGGTGGGTTAGAGCAGAGGGGTGAGGGGGAGGGCTGGGAGCCAGGACTCTGGGTTCTATCCCCAGCTCTGGGAGGGCAGTGGGGTCTGGTGGGTTAGAGCAGAGGGGTGAGGGGGAGGGCTGGGAGCCAGGACTCTGGGTTCCATCCCCAGCTCTGGAAGGGCAGTGGGGTCTGGTGGGTTAGAGCAGAGGGTGGGGGGGTGGACTGGGAGCCAGGACTCTGGGTTCTATCCCCAGCTCTGGGAGGGCAGTGGGGTCTGGTGGGTTAGAACAGAGGGCTTGCAGCCAGCCAGCCAGCCAGGGTTCTATCCCCAGCTCTGACATGAGGCAGAGTGCAATCCCCACCCCATCCCACTCTGGGTGCAGCTTGAGGGAGGAGTGGGTGGAGAATTGCAGCTCTCCAAGTTGGGAAAGAGATTTATCTGTCCAGGTGTGAGGGGCAGGTGAGGAGGGTGCCAGAGAATGGGGGAGGGGCTGGCTCCATGCCTGGCAGGTAGCCTGATTTGAAGGGGGGAGGTATATGAGGATTCTAGTCACTGCACCCCATATAGCTGGGTCCTAAATGGAAACCATCCCCAATTGAGGCAAGTTTGCTGGGCCTCAGCCCAGTCCCTAGGGAGGGAGCCCAGCTGGCTGAATGGGGGCTGAATGTGCCACCAAGACTGAGCCCCTCTGTGCCCACAGAAGGGAAATGCCCCAGATGCCAGTTTCCCGCCCTCCAGGCCTGGGGTGGGGTCAGAGCCAGTGCCCCCTAGAGCGGGAAGGCCCTGTTCCCATCATGATGGTGTCTCTCCCCCAGGTTTCATGCTGTGGGAATCATCTTCTTCATCCTGGGTCTGGGCACCCTCCTGCCCTGGAACTTCTTCATCACGGCCATCCCGGTACCGACCCTGAGTGCCATGGGGTTCTGGGGGGCAGGCAAGGGAAAGAGGAATGCTGGGGGGAAGGGCTTAGGGGATTGGGGTAGGCAAGGGGCAGGTACGGTGTTGAGGGGAGGAGGAGGAGGAGGAGGGGAAGTGGGGTGCTGGGCTAAGGGAGGGGGAGCACTGGGGGGCCAGGGGTTCATAGTTCTGCAGCAGCACCCAGGGCAGGGGTGCAGCCCTGCATGTGGCGGTCTTACTGGGGCCCAGGGGATGGTGGCTCAGTGGGGGAGGTGCCCCCGGGGGTGTATGGGCAGCAGGGCTCCAGCCCCATCTCACCTTGTCTCTCCCCCACAGTATTTCAAGGCCCGGCTCATTGTGGGGACTAGCTTGACCGTGGGCCTGGGGGGAAACAGCTCTGGGACGCAGCGGGACCCAGCCCAGGATGAGTTCAACTTCAACAACTGGCTGACGCTGCTCTCACAGCTCCCGCTGCTGCTCTTCACTCTGCTCAACTCCTTCCTCTACCAATGGTGAGAAACCTCGGTCCTGACCCAAGCCCTGCGATCCCAGCCCGGGGCTTCCCCACCCACCCCCCAGCTCTGCCGGGACCTCCGTCCTGACCCCAGCTCCCTGCAATCCCAGCCCGGGGCTCCCCCACCCACCCCCCAGCTCTGCCGGGGCCTCAGTCCTGACCCCAGCTCCCTGCAATCCCAGCTCTGCCGGGGCCTCAGTCCTGACCCCAGCCCTCTGCAATCCCAGCCTGGGGCTCCCCCACTCACCCCCAGCTCTGACCCGCAGCCCCCTGCAGTTCCAGGGGCTTCTAATCCTGACAACCTCAGCACCAAGGTGGATGGGGTCCCTTTATAAACAGCGCCAGTGCCCCACCCCTACCGCAGGGTCTAGCAGAGAAGCCAGAGGGTCCCTCTGCCCCCCGCACACCCATATGGTCCCATTGAGCTGTCCCCCCTGCAGTCGGGGCTGATGGGGTGACAAGGCACCAGCAGCCCAACACTGAGTCAGCCCCGGAGTGATGGGTGAGACCCTGGGGCTCTGACCTGCTCCCCCTCCCCCGGCAGCATCCCGGACAAGGTGCGGGTCCTCGGCAGCATGAGTGGCATCCTCCTCCTCTTCATCCTCACGGCCGTGCTGGTCAGGGTGGAAATGCCCCCCCACAGCTTCTTCTCCATCACCATAAGCTCTGTGTGGTTCATTAACTGTGAGTGGGGGCGGGGTATGGGACATGGGGGCTTTCCCCTCTTGGGGGGTCCCAGCCCCAAGGCCGAGGGGCTGGCTGGCTTCGGCGGGCAGGGAGTGGTTCTGCAAAAATTCCCCTTCCATTGTGCCCCCACAGGGCCAAATACAGTGATTCACAGTCCACTGAGTGCAGGGGTATCGGAGCTGGAAGGAGACTGCGAGGGGGGGGGGGATCTGTGATGGGGCCGTGCACCCACGTGGGAGGCGCGCAACTGATGATGGTGTGGAGGAGGGGGCAGTGAGGGCATGGTGTATTTTTTGCGGGGGAGGGGAAACTAAGGGTTAACTCCCAGGGGACTGGCGGGGAGGGGGCTGCTGGGCCTGACGCCCCCACGGCAGCTGCTCTGATTTCCCTGGCCAGGCCCCTGTGCTGGGCTCAGCGTCCCCTCCTCCCCGCATGGCACTGTGGGTCCCCGGGCGGTGGGGGCAGTTCTGACCCACTGTGTCTCTACCCAGCATTCTGCGCTGTCCTGCAAGGCAGCCTGTTCGGGCAGCTGGGCACCCTGCCCCAGGGCTACAGCACTCTCTTCCTGAGTGGCCAGGGCATGGCCGGGACCTTCGCCGCCAGTGCCATGCTGCTCTCCATGGCTAGTGAGTATGACGGGGACCCGCCTCGCCACCCGCAGCCCCTCTCCTGCCTCCCCCCCCCCCGAGCCCCACCCTAGCACTGACTGTGAGGGGAGAGCGCCCCCTACTGAGACCCCCTCCCTGCAGCACAGCGCCCCCTAGTGCTGCACTGGAACATTGGGATCGGCGCCCGGTCGTGCTGTCTGCGCGCTGTTGCTCCACGTGCTGTGCTGGCTGTTTCAGGTGGTGCGGATGCGCAGACGTCTGCCCTGAGCTACTTCATCACCCCCTGTGTCGGGACCCTGATCTCCATTGTCTGCTATCTGATGCTGCCCCGTATGGTGAGATGCTGCACCGCCGGTGTGGGGAATGGGGCATAGGGACTTTCCTCACTGGGGGGCGCTGGGTCCAAGCCGCCTGGGGATGCAAGCAGTGTTTGTGTGTGTGGTGGGGGGGGGTGTCTTTGGCAGGCCCCAGAGGTTTGGGGGCCTATAAAAGCAGTGTCCCAGGAGTGTCCCCAGCTGGCGGGTTGACTGGACCCATGTGGGGGAGATTAGGGCTGGGGGCGTTGGGTGATAGGGCTGTTTGGGGGGGTCAATGTGTAGCAGCCAGGGGGGTTGTGTATTAGCAACGTGGGGATTGAAGGGACGGTGTAATGCCCTGGGTCAGATGTGTGCCCCTTCCACAGACCCCCCTCCTGTCCTGTCGCCCCCTGCAGGCCTTCTTCCGTCACTACCTGGAGCAGAGTTGGCAGCATGACCCACGCAATGAGCTGGAGACCAAAGCTGGGCTGCTGGGCCCCGGTACGCAAGGTCCTGGGGAGTTGTGGGGCCCTTTGCTGCAGGGGGACACCTCGCTGCCCCCAGCATGGGAGAGGGTTGCGTCCAAACCACCGGCTATGCCCAGGCTGGCTGAAGACCTCTGGGATCTCTGATCACTGCCTCTCTTCCCTATGTCCCCAGAGGAACAGAGTGGGGACCAGTCAGAGAGGCCTGGGGAGAAGCCAATGCTGGGAATGGCCAATGGGACACTCAGGACATTGGAGGACATCAGTGTGGAGAGCTCCGGGAAGGGAGCCTTCGCCCTGCACAATGGGACAGCCACCAGTGCCCAGAACGGGGGGCCGGGACCAGAGAGACCGTCAGTGTTCAGTGTGCTCCGAAAGGTAAAGGGGATGGGGGGAAGAGTCCCTGCGGTACGCTATAAACAGCCCCAATGCCCCGTCCCAGAGGTGGCTGCATCTCAGTGCCAGGTGAGGGGTCCCAATATAAACAGCTCCCACTCCCCACCCCAGAGGTGGCTGCATCTCAGCACAAGGTGAGGGGTCCCTGGGTAAACAGCCCCTGCTTTACCCCCTGGAGACAGCTGTGTCTCAGTGAGGGGTTCTGGAGCTGTTGGGGGTGGGGCCCAGCTGGCTCTGACTGTCTTCCCACCCCCGCACAGATCTGGCTGCTGGCACTCTGCATTGTCATGGTTTTCACTATCACCCTGTCCGTGTTCCCTGCCATCACTGCCACCGTCACCAGCACCTCGGAGAGCAAGCAATGGAGTGAGTATAGGGAGTGGGGTCTCGTGGTTAGAACATGGGGGGCTGGGAGCTGGGACTCCTGGCGTGAATCCCTGGCTCTCGGTGGTGCTGTGGTTGCTGATGCCCCAGGCTGGGTTGGAGCAGGCGCCCCCTAGAGGTGAAAACCTCATATCCTTTTCCCCAACTCTTCCCCTCCCCCATAGGTGAGTTCTTCACCCCTGTTTGCTGCTTCCTGTTGTTCAACATGATGGACTGGCTGGGCCGCAGCGTCACCTCATACTGCCTCTGGGTGAGTGGGGGGACACCCACCCCTGCTGGCCAAGCTCTGCATTCATTGGCAGGGATGGGGAGAGGGGGGAAATCAGCAGCCTCCATGGGTGGTGAACCCCTGGGGAAAAGGGAGGGCTTTATGGAGTGGGTGACGTTGGGGGGACTAGTTGGGGGGGCCCAATCCTGCACTGGGTCAGGTTTCTCTCCCACTCTGAGAACCTCCCCTCCCCTCCCCCCGCTGCTCTCCAGCCAGAGAAGAGACTATGGCTACTCCCCCTGCTGGTGGGCCTGCGCTTCCTGTTTGTGCCCCTGCTGATGCTATGCCAGGCCGAGCCCCGCACCCGCCTGCCCGTGCTCTTCCACCATGACGCCTGGTTCATCCTCTTCATGCTGCCTTTCTCGCTCTCCAATGGCTACTTCGTCTCGCTCACCATGTGCCTCGCCCCCAAGTGAGTGCTGGGCAGGGTCGGGGCTCAGTAGGGGGCGCTCTCCCAATGCAATCAGTGCTGAGCGCAATGCCCCAGGGTGCTGCTAGAGGGCGCAGTGCTGCACTGCAGGAAACCAGGTGGGAGGGTCTCTAGAGGGCACTTCCCCCTCGCAGTCAGTGCTGACCCCAATGCCCCAGTGTGCTGCTAGGGGGCGCTGTGCTGCACTGCTGGGAGCAGGGTGGGGGGTCTCTAGAGAGTGCTCTACCAGCACAGCCATGCTGACCCCAATGCCCCAGTGTGCTGCTAGGGAGCGCTGTACTGCACTACAGGGGGAGGTCTGTAGGGGGCGCTCTCCCAGTGCACTCAGAGTGGCATCTCAGCACCAGGAGAGGGATCCTGATGTAAACAGCTCTCACAGTTAGGGTGACCAGACGTCCTGATAAAATCGGGACCGTCCTGATTTTGAGCTGTTTGTCCCTCGTCCCGACCGATCTCTGGTTGGGACGCAATTTTTGTCCCGATATTTTCTTCATCTCATCTGGTCACACTACTCACAGCCCATCCGAGAAGTGGCTGCATCTCAGTGCTGGGTTTCTCTGCATGTTGGGGAGTGGTGTGTGGTTCTCAGCTGTGTCCTCCCTGCCACCCTCCTCTCTCGCCCCATAGGCAGGTGCTGCCGCAAGAGAGCGAGCTGGCTGGAGCCATCATGACCTTCTTCCTGGCACTAGGGCTGTCGTGTGGGGCTGGGCTCTCCTTCCTCCTCAAGGCCCTGCTGTGATCCCCCCTCAGATTCATCCCTTCATCTTCCAGCAGCTCGTCTGAGTGCACCCCATCAAACTGGGGGGCTTGGAATAGGAGGGATGGGGGGGGCTTTGCATAGGAGGGGGGCTGGTACCTCCTGACTTCCCCCTTTCTTTCCATGGGCATCATCTCAGCCTGGTGAGTGTAAAGATTAGTGTCCTGCCCCCCCCCCCAAGTCTCCTGTTGCAAGGCAGATACCCCATTAGGGGTTGCCCCCCAGCCCTATTCTGTTCCTCACCACCGTTCCATAGGAATTCCAGCAAAGGGAATGTCTATAGAATGGTGTGGCAGGGGAGGAAAGGGTTAATGTAAAGAAGTATCTGGGGTTTTAATGTATTTATTTGTGGGGCTCCTGGGCTGATTTTTGGCTGGCTCCTTAGCCCAGGTGGGGGGCTGAGCCCCATGCGGTGTCATGGGCTACACAAAGGGACACCACAGCATACCACTTCGCCTGGAGATTCACGTAGAGCCCAGGCTCCAACTCCTGCCCCTTCGCCCTGGGGTCGAGGAAGGGGAGGACCCCAAGGGTTGCTGGGGCTTTGCTTCTGCTGCAGAAACGCACATCCAAGCCAGACTGCTGGCTGGGCTTTAAAGGGTTAAATATCCCCTCTCTCCTGACCCCCAGAAAGGTCCTAGCTCCTGGATGGAGGCTACTGCCCTTTAGAAGGAATATTGTATAATGGGTAGGACAGGAGATGGGAGCAAGGTCACCTGGGTTCTGTCCCCAGCTCTGGGAAGCACGTGCTGGCCAGTTGATTGTAAACTCCTTGGGGCAAGGTCTTGTCTGTGCTCTGAAGTGCCTAGTTATGCTCTAGGTCAATGGTTCTTAAACTTCCGTACTGGTGACCCCTTTCACACAGCAAGCGTCTGAGTACGACCCCCCCTTAGAAATTAAAAACACTTGTTTATGTATTTAACACCATTATAAATGCTGGAGGTTTGGGGGTGGAGGCTGAGAGCTCGCGACCCCCCATGTTTGAGAACCCCCCCGCCTTAGGTGCTAGATAAATAATAGTAGTTAGAGTAGGTGCGGCAATTCCTCTCGCAGGCATCAGTAGCCCAGCCGCTAGCAGGCGGCTTTGTGCTACTGGAAGAGCTCAAGGGCGGCTCGTGGTCAGACCTGGGTTTGGTTCCCTGCTGTGCCCCAGATTCCCTGTGTGACCTTGAGCACGTCCCTTAGCCTCTCTGTGCCTCAATTTCCCCATCTGTACAATGGAGACATTAGCACTGCCCTGGCCTCCCCAGGGCACGAGGACATGTTCAGTTCATGTTGTGAAGCGCCCAGATACCATGGTGGCAGGTGCTATAGAAATTCTCATGGGAGAGAGAAAAGGACATGGTGGCATTTTTCCCCTTTGGCTTTATTGTGTGCATGGGGCTGGAGTGGCTGTTTTATTGTATTTCATTGCCTGCTTTTGGCTCTTTTTAATAAGTTTGATTTTTATTTTTTCAATAAAAGTGCTGTGAGGTTTTTTTACAAGGATTCGTCTTGGCCTCTTTGTGTTAACTCCCCATTTGCTGCTGAGAGCAATTGTGGGGTGGCTGGGAAACCAAGGCTAAGCGGGCAGGTATTCTGTAGCTGTACCCTTGGGCTCCTCTTAGCTGATACTGCCCAGGGCCCCTATTCTGTTCAGCCTAATTCTTTGCCAATCTTCTGTTGTTTGCTGGACTCAACCCCCTGCATCAGCTTCCCAGACAATCTGAGCGTTTCATCCAGCCCACCCTGTTGGGAGAATGAGTCTGTTGGGTCTCAGCCCTGTTCCTTGCAGCACTGGGGCTCATGCCAGACCCATACCCCTCAACAGACCCCAAGCCCCCACCTTCTTCCCTCAGATGGGGTTCCTGCAGGGAAGAGGGGATATCCCACGTTGGGGCTGGTGGTCTGGCCCCTCTCCAGGATCTGTGATGAATTGAGAGGGGACTGGTGGTGGTGGTGGTGGTGATGGGGAATGGTGTAGTTCTATGATGGCACTGCCTGAAGCAAAGCATCACATAAGAACGGCCACACTGGGTCAGACCAATGGTCCATCTAGCCCAGTATCCTGTCTGCCAACAGTGGCCAATGCCAGGTGCTTCAGAGGGAGTCCATGGGAGGGATGTGCCCCCCCAGCATGCGGTACTCAACATAACCACAAACTCTGGCATGGAAAATAGATTCCTGACTTCTGTTCCCAGATCTTGGAGCAGAGTGGGGGCTAGTGGTTAGAGCAGAGGGGCTGAGAGCCAGGACTCACTGGGTTCCAGTCCCTATTCGGCCACTGATTGTTTAGGTGAGTTCCTCCCCAGCAATCTGCCTCAGTTTCCACATCTGTCAAGGGGGAGGACACATTGAGGCCCAATTATGCTTAAATTGCCTCCACTTCAAGGGGACTGAAGCACACAGCTGACATGTGGGTGCTGTGCTGTGGTTCAGGGGCTTGGACACTAGTCATTCAGTGCCACATTAACGACAGCCCCAAATCCCAGCTTTCCTATCCAAAACCGACTCCTCCGGCTCTTGGGGGCTCCCTTCCCCCAGGCTGATCCTTTCATCCATGTGATGCAGCCCCCTCTGGAAAATGAGTCCCAAGTGGGGATTTCTACCCCCCCCCCCACCATCCAGAGGCACACCCATCCCATCCAGGGGTCTCCCATTGGCCCCTCCAGTGAGTGACAGATCCCCTGCCATCTGCCTTCATCTAAGCAGGGGTTGTTGCCCCCCACGAATAGCTAGCTTGCTTTCATATTCCTAGGGCAATGTATTGGGGAGTATAATACAGTTCCCAGCCCACCACCCAATAGACACCCCCCCATTCAATCTACTGTGGGTTATCGGGGTTCCAATGTGTCATTTCACCCACCCGTTGGGCCCCCTGATACTGAGGGGGGATTTTACTGCACACACCTCTCCCTGCCAGCGTTAACCCCAGGGGCTGAGAGGAGACTTTATTGCATGAAAGGAGGAGAATGAGACAAGTTGAACAGCAGACGCTGCTCTCATACCCTTAAGGCTGCGAACACCCCCAATCCCTTTCTTCCAGAACCAGTCCAGAAAATAATGCACTGCTAACCCTCCTCTTCTTCCCAAAAAGGGAGCGACGAGGGTGGGATTCGAACCCACGCGTGCAGAGCACAATGGATTAGCAGTCCATCGCCTTAACCACTCGGCCACCTCGTCTCTCATGTTGGGCTTAATCTGCCATCCCAACCATACCCCTGAGTGTGTGTGCGCGAGGGCAAGAGTGCACAGGACGGGGAGGGTCTGTGTGTAGGGAGGGTTGATTCCCCCTGCGCTGCCTTTTGCACACACCCCCTTGCCCGGACAGCCCCCGCTTCCTGTCCCCCCTTGCCCCATCCGAGCGGGACCCCGGATGCAGCCAGGGGCGCATGAGCCCGTCCCGGGCAATGGTCAGAAAACCACCTCCCGACACCCCCCCTGCGCCCCCCTGTCCCTGGCGGGCGGGGCGCGGTGGCGAGTCGGCCTGCAGTGGCTCCTCCCTAGGGCAGGTGGCGCGCTGCCGCAGCGACGGGCGCCTCCATTCCCGGCCCCCGGCCGGCTGCATGGAAGGGCTGGGAGCTGCAGCCGCCCGCTGCCTGCGCCGGTCCCCCCTGGCGAGCATGGGCGCAGCGCGCCGGGCCTGAGCGGGGAGCCCCGGCCGCGGCCGGCATGCAGGGCCCCGCCAGATGCTCCTTCTTCAAGGCGCTGCTGTGGGCGCTGGCGCTGGTGGCCCTGCTGCAGCTGCTCTACCTGTCCCTGCTCTCGGGGCTCCACGGCCGCCAGCAGCGCTCCCGCTACTCGGAGCTGTTCGGGGGGCGCCGGGGCGAGGCGCCCGGCCGGCCCAGCGAGCAGCAGAAGGAGCAGCTGAAGCGCGCCCTGGCCAGCGGCGGGCGGCTGGATGCCAGCGGCCAGTACCGGATCTACACGGACATGCTGGGGCCCCCGGAGCGGGCGGGGCGGGCGCCCGACCTGGTGCTCGCCACCCACACCAGCCTGAGCAACCTGCACCAGCTGCAGGAGCTGGTGGGGCGCTGGCAGGGCCCGGTCTCCGTGGCGCTTTTTGCGCCGGGCCCCGCCGAGGTGCGGCTGGCCACGCTGATGCTCTACGCCTTGGGGGCGCTGTGCGGGCCAGTGCGACAGCTGGTGAGTGCCCACCTGGTGTGCCACTCGGGGGACCTGGCCTCCTTCCCCGAGCTAGAGGACCGGGCGGAGTTTGCCCGGCTCAAGGCCTGTGGGGATGTCTTCGCCAAGCTGGCACGGGCTGGGGCGGGCCGGCGTAATTATGCCCTGGGCGCCAACGCTTCGTACCCCAACAACCTGCTGCGCAATGTGGCACGGGGGGCAGCCACTGGGCACTACACGCTCGTGCTGGACGTGGACATGCTGCCCAGCGAGGGGCTGCGTGAGGCCTTCCTGGCACTAACTGCAACCTTGGGTGCTGAGGGGCCACCAGGCGTCTTCGTGGTGCCCGCCTTTGAGATCCGGCACACCCGGCGCCTCCCAGGTGCCAAGGCCGAGCTGCTGCAGCTGTATCAGGTGGGGGAGATCCGGCCGTTCTACGAGGAGCTCTGCCCACGCTGCCAGGCCCCCACCAACTACTCACGCTGGCTGAACCTGCCTCCAGGCAGTTCCCTGAATATTGCCTACACCGTGGAGTGGAGGGACCCCTGGGAGCCCTTCTACATCAGTGCCAACTCTGTGCCACCCTATGATGAAAGATTCAAGCAGTATGGGTTCAACCGCATCAGCCAGGTACCTGCCTCACCGGCATGGGGAGGCATTTGTGCCATGGGAGCCAGCCCCAGATATACGCCCAGCCACCCCAAGAGATGGAGCAGGGTGTCTCTGACCCGGGGGTGAAACAAGTCTGGGAAGTCTCAGCCGGGTGCTCTCCTGATCACTGGGCACCTCAGGCCATGCTCACTGAGCCTCATAGAGGGCACCCGAACATGGCCCCATGAGACACATGGGCAGGGTGTGAGGAGTGCATATTTCCTTCCCTGCAAGGGGGCTCTGGCCCTGATCCAGGCCTAGCTCAAGAGTACTTGGTGGCTAGTGGGGAGAGACAACACGATGTAGGGGACGTTGTGCTGCAGAGAGCAGGTGGGGGGTTCAGTAAGAGGCACTCTCACCTTGCAGTCAGTGCTGTTTCCAATACCCAGGGCTGCACCAGGGGGTGTTGTACACTCTGAAGTGGCATCTGTCCAATGAGATGTAAAATGGGCCTTGGCCCCTTGTGCTTACTAGTGACCATTTGTCACTTTTCCTACAGCTTCCATCCAGTGGAGAATTTCCACTTCCTATCCTGAACTGTAGTGTTCTGTGAAGCTGTGAAATAGCCCCCACATCCTACACTGCATCTGAGCACCGGGTGAGGGATCCCTGTATAAAACAGCTCTAATGCCCCACCCCGGAGGCGGCTGCATAGCCCCTGCACCGCAGAAGTGGTTGCATCTTAGCACTGGATGAGGGATTCCTGTATAAACAGCCCCCACACTCCACTCTAGAGGTGGCTGCTTTTCAGCCCTCAATGTAACAGAGTATGGGACACTTTGAAGTCTGGTGGGGGTTACCCTGGTCTCCTTCACAGCTCTCCTGTCCCCTTTCGCAGGCATGTGAGCTCCATGTGGCCGGATACAGTTTCTCAGTGCTGAACAATGCTTTCCTGGTGCACAAGGGCTTCAAGGTGCCGAGTGAGTTCCATGCACAGAAGGATGCCGAGAATCAGCGCAACAAGATGCTCTTCCGCCAGTTCAAGCAGGAGCTGAAGCTGAAGTATCCTGGCTCACCACGCCGGTGCTGATGGTCCTGCCGTCTCCGGCACAGCTCCTCAGACCTGCCTTCCCCATGACCCTTCATCTGTAGCTTTGGTGTCAGTGTTTTGGGGGGGCCCTGCCCAATCTGGGCTTGGAATGCCCCCTCCTTTCCATTGAGTCATTAATCTCCACATCGGACAGAGGTTTATAGTTGGGGGGAATCTTTCCAGCCACATCACACTGGATCCTTCACCTGCCCCAACCTGTTGCTGGGGCCATGGAGTCCTGTATCCCCATCCCCCAAAATACTTCAGCATTCTCCTCCCCCACTTTCCTATTGAACAGCAGGCTGTCAGAACAGAGGACCTCCCCCCGGCCTATTGCCTGTCTGGGCAGAGGACAGCTGTTTCCTCCCTCCGCAGCTCCCTTGTTATGATTCTTTCCCTCCTTGAGCAGGGAGAAAGAGGCTGTTCTGGACTCAGCAGCCCCCTCTCCCTTTTTGTAGGTGGTTATGGGGTGGAAGCTAGTATAGGGATTAGAGAAGGGGGTGGGGAGTCAGGACTTGTGGGATCTTTCCCTAGCTCAGAGAGGAGAGTCTAAGGGTTAAAGAATGAGGGGCTGAAATTCGGGACTCCTGGGTTCTGTTCCCAGTTTTGTCACTGATTCTATTTGCCCTCCACCAAGTCCCCTCCCCTTTCTGCACCTCATTTTTCCCCTTTGTAAAATGGGAATTAACGCAGTGACCTACCTCCTGAGGGCAGGGAGCATGAGGCTTAATTTATGAAGATGCTCAATGCTGCTTGGATGGGACTGGCAGAGTGCTCTTACCCCACTGTAGGAAATGGCCTGGCATTCAGTCCCCCTGAGTGCGAACCTTGGGTTAGAACAATAAAGTACTGTGGAGGCCAGGGGCGTCTCCTCATGGCTGTGTCCTGCCGTGAGTCCTTTCTGTGGTGCTGGGGGCAGTGGCTGGAACTTATCTATCCCGCACAGAGCTTGGCTTACTAGATATAGCACTGGTAGGTGGTGCTGACTCCTCAGTGTGCCAAAGCAGGGACCCTCCTGCCAGTGCTCAGGATGGGGTGAGAGGAGCTGAGAGCCACACAGCTCTGGCTTCTCTCCAGGTACTTGGGTGATGGGGGCAGTCCCATGGGTGCCATGACAACATTGCAGTTGGGCACCATGGCAAGGGGCCAAAGGTACTGTGCTAAGGCTGCGCTGGGACTGGGTGCCAAGTGTTATGGCAACGCCATGACTGGTGCTCTGGCAATGCAGCAATGGCGCTGCACCAGGTTGTGATGACATTGTCCAGGTGTCAGCAGGTCCCATGGTACTATGGCAACAACCTGACTGGGTGCCATGGTGATGTGTCACAAGCAGGTGCCATAGCAACACCAGTTCAGGGGATTCCCCTTAGCCCAACTTTGGGTGAATGTCGCTCACCTCACGCTAGGCTGTGGGCCTCCTTTTGTTGCCATGGGAACATGCCCCATCCTCCACTATCCCATAAGGCTCAGCGCAGTGGGCAGCTGGGAACTATAGAGGCAACGGCGCTCTGGTTAACTGGTCTCCCTGATTGGCTGGCAGAGGATGGGGCGGAGCCAGTAGGTGTGGAGCTTCCGGGTACGGAGAAGCGAAGCGCTTACGGGAGGGAGGCCGCCGGCCTGGGCTCCCCGAGGTACGTGGGGCTCAGAGCAGCGGGAGATGGATTCGTCGCAGCCTCCCTCCATGGGGTGCTGGGTGGTGCATTCCCAGCTGAGATCAATGGAAGCTGAGCTAGAGCAGAGCAGCCCAAGGGGGGAATTCGCTGTCTCCCCTGCTTCTGGAGCTTGTTGGTTCCATCCCCATTGAGTTCAAGGGAGGGCAGGCCGGTTCATTGCAACCCCAGGGGGAGAACTTACAGTGGCGGCCGGCTCAGACCATTGCAACTCAAAGGGGAGGGTTGCGGCCCTCGTATTGTGGGTGCTCAATGATCCATTCCCCGTTTGAAACGCACTGGGGGTGCAGACCATTGTAGCCTGGGAAAGGGTGCCGTATATCCTGCTGTCCCCCATCATGGAAACCTGAATGGCACCTTCCAAAGCAAATTCAAAGGAACTGGGAGAGACCAAGACATCTCGGGGGGTGTATGTGTGTGAATTGTGCCCTCCTGCTGGGAGGGGGGGGTCAGTGGTACCTTCCCCAACACGGAAATAGAGCAGACAATGTCAACTGGAGGGGGAAGTTATAGTATTGGTATGTTCCTCAGTGCTCTCGAGTGAGCAGAAGATGAGATATTTCATTCCCATCAAGGGGTGGGGGGAAGAGCATTGCACATGCACCAATAAAGCCAGCAGGGAGCTGGGTCAGACTATGGTTACAGAGTGAGCAGGGGGCTGGGAGCCAGGACTCCTGGGTTCTGTTACTGTCTCTGCCTGTATTCCCAGCCTTAGAGTCCTGCTCCCTGCTAGCTCCGGTGCCCCATGGGCCTGGATTGGGACCCGCTGTGTTGGCGAGGAGGGAGCTCCAGGCTTATGGCAGCAGAACGCCGGGGTCGCCATGCTGACTCCGCTGAGGCTAGCACCCATCTCTGCAGTCACATCACATGTCACGACACCATTGCAATAGCAGCTACCAGCTGATAGCACCTCGCTCCCTGACAGAGCGACTGGGTGGCTTTGTGGGGCTTCCCCCAAGGTGGCTGCACATCACAATGCAGTGAGAACAGGGAGTCGTTGGCTCTGGTCTGGCCCCGTGGCAGGAGGATGTGGGGGAGAGGGAGAATAAGACACAGGGCCTGTCTCCTCTAGGAGACGTTGGCTCTGATCCAGCCCCATGTGATATGTATTCAGGGCCCACATGTGGAACAAGTTGTCAGGTCTCAGTGTTGTTCCCAGTGGAGAAGGCAGTTACTTCCTTGGCCAATAGGAAGCCTTGGGGCTCAATGGGCTATGGAGACTGGGGTCCACTAGTTGAAGTAGCCCTGGGGCTGGGGTCTTGGCAGGGCTTGGACATTGGCAGGGCTTGGAGGTTGGAGCTGCCCCTTCCAGACCCATGCTCTGGGCACACAGGGGGTCCCATGGGTTGGGGGGCAGCTGTCCCTGTCCAGGGCCCCTTGCTCTGCATATGATGGAGGAGGGCAGTGGGGGGTGCAGTGAAGTAGGACCCTCCCAGGTCACCTGGCAATAATCCCTGCCATTGATTATCCAGAGTGCCCATGCCGGTGCACCCGGCGCCCAAGGAGGCGGAGGAGATGGAGGGGGACGGGGACTCGGCACCTGAGCTGAATGGCGAAGAGGAGGAGAGCGAGGAGGAGCATAGTGCCAGCCCTTCTGAATCAGAGGAAGAAAGCTCAGGTACTGGGGTGTGGAAGGGGATTTGGGGTGGGGCTTGGCCCTTCATCACAGAGCGGTACTGGGGTGGGGGGTGGCCGTGCTTCCTGGGTAAGAGCCATGGCCCAGCCAAGTTGGTGTCCTCTCCCCAGACTCCTGGGTTCTGTTCCCAGTTCTGGAAGGAGAGTGGGGTCTAGTGGGCTATAGGGGGATGGGCCGATGAACCAGGACTCCTGGGTTCTATTATCCCCAGCTGTATGTGTGCCCCTGGGTGAGTGTCCTGACTCTGTGTGCTTCAGTTCCCCGGGTGGTCTGTGTGTGTCACTATGCCCATGGGTGAGCATGGGCTGGAAGGTACATGTGCTGTGTCCTACAGAGATGGACGAGGAGGATTGTGAGCGGCGCCGCAGCGAGTGCCTGGATGAGATGTGTGACCTGGAGAAGCAGTTTTCTGAGCTTAAGGAAAAGTGAGTCTCTTGTTGGCTTCCCCATCCCTGAGGTGCCTGTATCTCAGTGCCAGGCGAGGGATCCTGGGACAAACTGTCCCTGCACCCCACCCCAGAGATTGTTGTCTCAGTTCTGGCTGACACAGTGGGCTGGATGGGGCTGGACAGGCCTGTGCTGTGCTGGGGGGGAGGGGGGTGGGCACAGCGGGACCATGCTGGGCAGGGCTGGGTGGAATGTGGGGCGGGGCTGGGTGCAGGCTGGGTGGGGTGGACAGGGCTGTGCTCAGTCCCTGCTGGTGCACCCTGCAGGCTATTCAAGGAGCGGCTGAACCAGGTGAAGGCCAAGCTGGAGGACGTGGCGTCAGGGCGGGCGGCCGAGTACCTCGACCCCCTGGGTGTCCTGCAGAACAACATGAAGATCCGCATCGAGGTGGCTGGTGAGCTCCTGGTCCTGCCCATGTGTTAGCTGTATCCCCTGCTGCCCCACAGGGAATTGGTCCCACCGCTGAGGAGTTGGGGTGCCAGGGCTCAGTACCAGGGTGTGGGGGGAGAGTGGCTATGTCCCCTGGGCTGTCATGGTCCAGGCAGGCCTCAGAGGGCAGTGACCAGCTCTAAGGGAGCAGCAAGGGTTGAAGGCTCAGGAGCTGGGGGCAGTTGGGCTTGGAGGGGAAATGACAGGGCCCAGATCCAGTGTGGGGAAGGAAGGGTTCAGGAGAAGGGATGATGGATGGCGGGTGGGGGAGTCTGTGGGAGAGGAAGCGGGGGGAGGGGATTCAGGAGAGGCATGGGGAGGATTCAGGCCTGTGGGGTGGGGTAGGAATTCAGAGGAGGGTGCTGGCAGGCAGCCCTGGGAGGGGACTCAGGGGTAGAGAGATTCAGGCAGGTGGAGGCAAGGCCCACCTGTGGGAGGAAGGGGTGGGGCCCAGAGAGGGGAGTTGATGGCAGGGCCCAGAGGGCAGGAATTTCGCAGCGTCGTGGGAGTGATGGAGTGAAGCTGGCAGGGCCCGGACTGGTGGTGGTAGGAGGGCAGGGACTTGGACTGGGAGCCTCCTGGGAGGCTTGGGGTTAGCCAGGGTGGGCATCTCGCAGGGCTGTGGCTGGGCATGGAGGCAGAGGGGCTGGTGGATGGGCAGGGGTCACTGGTCCCCCCTCTTGCAGGCATCTACAAGGGGCTATGCCTGGAGGTGGTGAGGAACAAGCACGAGTGTGAGCTGCAGGGAGCACGCCAGCACCTGGAGGTGAGGGCCCCCATGACCTCCCTCTGCTCCTACCCATTGCTGAGGTCCCCTGCAGGCCCCCATCTACCTCTCCACGCCCCACAGGGCCCCCTGCGTAAGCCCCCCCGAGGTGCCCCATGGACTGCCCTGCTCCCGCAGACCCTCCATCCACTTCCCAGCTCCAGATGCCGCATCCTGTCTGAGCCCTGTGGCTGACTTCTGCACCCCCAGCATTCCCAGGGAGCACTGCGGGAGGGCCAGGAATGGGACCAAACGAGCCGGGTGGGAGGCTGGGAGCCCACAGCCTGGGGGTGGGATAGGGTCTGGCTGCGCCTCCAGGGCCTCCCTAGTGTTCTCTGTGCCAAGGGGGTGGGTCCATCCTGGCTGCGCCCCCGACCCCTGTCCTGTCCACACAGAGTGAGAAGCTCCTGCTCTACGACAACATGCAGAGCGAGCTGCTGGAGCGAATCCAGCGCCTGGAGGATGATCGGCAGAGCATCGACATCACCTCAGGTCAGTGAGCCCCAGGGCCTCCCCCAACTCCCCTCTCCCACTGCCGTTCTCCACGTATCTCTGCCTCCTGGCCATCCAGAGTGCCTCTAACCTGCTCTCACTTCAGTGTGCCCCCACAATCATCCCCAGTTTGATGCCCCCTGCCACACCGCTGCTGCCCCCCATAGGGTCCCTCCCACCATTCCCCAGAGTCACACACCCCTGCATCCCCATTACAAAGGCAGCTGTGTCCAGGGTTGCTGCACCCCATGGATCAGACCAACGGGTCCATCCTGCCCAGTATCCTAGTGTTGTTCCCACTTTCTAGCTGTTCCTTTGCTCCATGTGTGAGGTGAGTTTGCTGGGTCTCATCCTGCCCCACGAGGGACTGGGCTCACTGCCCCCCCCCCACTCCTGGCACAAACCACTCCGCTCATCCCTGTCCCCAGAGGGCAC